CCCGCAGGACAAGGCCACAGAGCGCAGCTGCTCCAGCTCCAAGTCCTTCTCGGCCAGCACGGCCAGGGCCCGGTCCCGCTGCTTGTGCAGCTCCTCCTCCAGCTTCAGCGTGCGGTCCCGGAAGTCCAGCTGGCTGCGCTCCAGCTCCTGCCGGTGGAGGTGCTGCAGCCGGGCCAGCTCCTGCTTCCAGTCCTCAGCCTCCTGCTGGTGCTGGCGCTCGAGCTCCTCGCAGGACAGCCGCAGGGAGATATACTTCTCCTTCAGTTCCGCAAGCTGTTCCTGGGCTTCCTCCAGCTCCTTGGCCAGATTACCGTCTTTGGTGTTCTTGCTCTTGAGGACGACCTGGGCCCTCATCTTGTACCTCTCGAACTCCTCCTTCAGCTGTTTCAGCTCCTGTTGGTAGTAGAGCACAGAGGCCTTCTCCCCGTCGGCAGCCTCGGAGCTGGGCATTATCTCCAGGTCACAGAGCTTCTCCACATCCAGGGTCACCTGGCTTTTCCTGGCTGCAACCTGCAGCAGCCTCTTCAGCTTCTCCATCTTATCCTTCAGGACATTGACATCCAGACTGGACTCCTCTCCATGGCCGTCGAGAGGGGACCGGCTGGAGGCTGCCAGAGCCAGGGTCTTGTTCTCCAGGTCCAGCTGCAGAATGCGCTCCTTTAGCTTCTGGATGGCCAGCTGGTCCTTCTGCTTGGCTTTCTCATAGGTGCCCAGCAGTTCCGACACCTCGGATATTTGATTCTCCAGGGCCGCCACCCTCTGTTCTTCCACCTGAGATTGCTGGCGTAGTTGATCTTCTGCAAGGGCTGCCTGGAAAACAACGGAGCAGATGGAAACGCATCCAGAAAAGTCACAAAGCCCTACGGCAATCTTTGAGAAAGCAAGAGAAGGGAGCAAAAGGGTCATAGGATGGGAATGGCCTGGCAAGAATGGGAACCGGGGATTTTTCTGTTGATGCAGAAGCTAACCAAAGTTCCTATAACCTGCCTGGGTTCTGCTGCCAGAGATATATTCTACCAAACGGTATTTTTTTTAATATAATTTGCTGTCAAATTGGTTTCCATACAACACCCAGTGCTCATCCCAACAATAAACCAAACGGTATTAAGAACCTCTGTGTATCTGCTGTTGTTCTGCTTTAGTGCCTCCACTTTCCCCCATCATACACCAAGCTCGCACATGAAGTGTGTGACTTTTGTTTATCATCTGCTTCCCCAGATCCTACTAAGAAATCACAGGACGTTCTTTTCCTCTCCCAATATTCCCGCAGTTCAAAACTCAGTTGGATCTCTCTCTCTCTCTCTCTCCACACTGAAAGGAGCACTGTAAAATGGCACACCTTTCCAGAACAGGCAAATTGACCGGAAGCAATTACAAGAGGTGACTTCTGCAAAAATTCCTTTTGCCCCGCCCTATAGGCATACACCACGGACTATCTAAATATAGGCATATACCTATGGTATACACACTACCTTTCACTGCATGGCTGCCACGACACTGCTTCACAGAGCAGGGCTGGGAAGACGCCAATGCCCAGAGGTTCAGAGATGTCTGGCTCCAAACCAGCCTACACTGAGAAACCCCACATCCTGTTGGAAGCACATTCTGTGGACACCGTCAACACCACACAGAACAGATGTCCCAGGGCTCAAGGTGGAACCTTCTGAATGGCATCAAAACCTGATAGCACAGCCCCTTGGTTCTAATTACCAAAGAGGAAAATACCCTAATATTTCCCACTCCAGGCTAACTGACTAATGTTTGGAGCAATAATTACCTTCCTCATTTCCTGCTGCAACTGAGCCTGGAAATGGCTCTTCAGGAAGGCGGCCTCTTCCTGAAGCTCCTGCAGCCGAGGGTCAGGCCGATTCTTCTCATCTCGAAGAGCCTGCAGCTCACCTTTCAAGTCCTCCACCTCACGGGTCAGCTGCTTGGTCTGCAGTTCGAACCCTTCCATCTGACCAGCTGCATATGCCCGCCCCGCCAGGGCTTCTCGGGTCTCTTCTAGCCGAAGCTCCAAGTCCTGGCGCTGGGTCCTCTCCTCCTGCAGCAGTTTCTGGAGCTCACGAAGCATCAAGGCATGATCACTCTGCTCTTGGGCCCGATCATGCTGCTGGGTGATAAGCCGGGCTTTGGTTTCTGCGATCTGGTCCTGCAGCCCCTTCAATTCTCCCTCCAGACGGCCCCTCTCCTCCTCTGCCTTTTTACTGGCATCCTCTAAGTCCTGTTTCATCTTCTTCTTGTCTGCCAGGTAAGACGCTTCCATGCGAGACTTCTCCTGGGTGACTGTAGCCAAAGAGCTGGTCAAAGTAGCCAACTGAGTCTTCAGCTGGTGCAGTCGTTTGTCCACTTCCCCACCCCCAGACGGTCCATCCCCACTGCTACTGCTGACGCCACTCTCCGACCCGTTGGCCTCTTCAGACTTTGGAGGTGGTGGTCCACGAGCCAGTCTGTCATCCTCTACCCCAAACTCACCCTTGGTGCTGGTGAGACTGGCCGCAGTATCCAAGCTGGTGGCGGTCCCAGTGCTATCCTCGCTGTGAGTGGAGCATCGGTCATCTACAGAGTCAGGAAAAGTGAGGCCTGGAGGCTGGACACCTGTGAGGCCCACATCCGCCTCATGGGATACCGACAGCACCTTAATGCTGGCCTCTAGAGCCTCCTTCTCTTTCAGTAAGCTTTTATAGGCACGGACCACATCCTTGAGACGTGCCTGGTACTGGAGAAGCTGCTTCTTCTGCGTCTCAATGGTTTCCAACAGGTCCTTCTTGCTCGGTCCGCCCCCGAAATTCATCCCAAACTTCTCCATGTTCAGAACGGGTTACTCGACGTCAGCGTTCTGGCAGCTCAGAAGAGGGTCGCGAAGACCCTGGCGGGGACAGTAAACTACAAAAAGAGACTTGTCCCCACAGCCGCACGCCCGCTCCTCCTAGCTGTCCGAGACCGGATGCCGGGTACCGTGCAGCCTAGCAGAAGCGCCCGCCAGGTCCCAGGCACCGAGGGCGGGGGCGGGTCCTACCTTAGAGGCGGGGCGACGCCGGGACGAGAGCAGCACACGGCGAGGGCTCGCCTGTACTGTCTCAGAGGCTGCTCCGAGCTCCTTGCTTGCCCGGGTCACAGCAGTCCCAGACGGCCCTCAGCCCACGATCGGCCAAGAGTTTAAACCGAACGTAACCCCATCAAGACTTCCTAAGTAGAGCTGCCCGAGAACGACGCTTCCGGGTCCGCTGGAAGTGACGACACCGCGACGCATCAGGTTCCGCCCCTAGTGGGCGCGAGGTGGGTGGGGCTATTTCGCCGGGGGAGTGGGAGAGAGCCGGTTCAGAGCATAGCTGCGCCTTGAACGCAGGGCCCGCGAAGTCAAAAACTCGGGAGTGATTATGGTTTGGTGGAGTACCCTAGGATTACGATGAGCGAGAGAGAGTGGGCAACGTGGCACTAAGTCCTTACCAAACACCCGGATGAGCGACGTGTCCCCGCATTTGCGGCTCAACACCTTTGTCTCTAAAGATCAACAATTAAGACTCCCTTTTAGAACACGAAAACTTCAACCCTTGACGGGACAGTTTTGGCAACTCCTAGGCATCTAGTATAATTATTAGCACCCTTCCTGAGTTCTGTTGTGTTGATTCAACAAATACATGTAGACGGCACCCTATAGCCAAGACCTCCATCCTATGTGCCAAGTATATTTCAGGACCTTCGCAAGAGTTTTGGTATTTAGCCCTTACAATTGTTCTGCTCAGTGGGTGCAAACATGAGACACAGAGGCTAAATAACATGCCCAAGGTCACACAGCTAGGAATTCTATCTATATCTGTCCAACTCTCAACATACCAAACGCTGCTCCTGGTGATTACCATGAAGAGACAAGTTTCTGCCCTCACATATCCCCCATCTAATGAAAAACCAGAGGTGCAAACACAAGTCCTGCTCTCATGACTGTATGTTTGGGTTTATTCAAAGTGGTATGGGAGTTAGGAGGGAGGCCTGTCTAGAGGAAGAAGAGAAGGTTCTCAGGGAAAACACTTGGGTTGTTGAAGCATGTGTAGTGATCTAACTAAAGATGAGGCAAACAAGCATTCCAGGCAGAGGAAAATGATTGCAAGGACTCCTAGGGCATCAGAGAGCCTGGCTCACCCAGGAAGCATTGAGAATCACTTCATGGCTGTAGCTTAGGGTGAAGGAGGTGGCAATTGATGGGGCTGGCCCAATAGATAGGTACCTAAATTAAGGCATTTTTTAATTTGTTTTAATTTTTTTAATGTTTATTTACTTTTTGAGAGAAAGAGAGAGAACAAGTAGTGGAGGGACAAAGAGGCAGAGGGAGACACAGAATCTGAAGCAGGCTCCAGGCTCTAAGCTGTCAGAGCAGAGCCACACATGGGCCTCGCACCCACAAACTCTGAGATCATTACCTGAGCCGAAGTCAGACACTCAACCGACTGAGCCACCCAGGCACCCCAAGGCATTTCAATTTTTATCTTGAATGCTAAGACACTAAAGGATTTTAATATTGAGTAGCATCATCAAGACTTGTATGACGGGGTAAAGATACCAAGGGGCAGGAGACTGGTAAGGAGGCTATTTCTGTCCTGAGGAAGAGATGATAGTGAAATAGGGCAATGACAACAGGGATGGAGAAAAAAGAGTCTAATTAAAAGAGCTAAAGATTGGGGTGCCTCAGTCAGCTAATCATCTGATTCCTGATTTCAGCTCCGGTCGAGATCTCACCATTGGTGAGATCAGGCTCTGCATCAGTCTCTGTGCTGACAATGCAGAGCCTTCTTGGGATTCTCTCTCTTCCTCTCTCTCTGCCCCTACCCCCTCATAAATAAATAAGTAAGTTCAAGATGTAAAACTGACCTGACTCAGTCAGTTCTAGTTGTGTTATTATATTGGAACTCTTTTAAATGCACTCTTCAAAGCTTGTAAAAAGCCTTCTTAGGAATGCAAATATATGGCTAAAGAGTAAAGGAAAGTCTTAGACTCACTCCTACCTGGTACCCAAAGTGTATTCTCTTTACAGACTTTTCAGGTCAGTTTGGGGCAGACCCTGGAGGTATTTTCAGACCCAATTTCTTAGTGGCCCAGATAACATCCACCTGAAACATACAGAACATTCAGATAGTCTCATAATTTTAATATTCACCATCACCTCATGAGATAGGGCAGATATTGGTCTCCTTTTACAGAAAATAACAAGTTATGAGGATTGTTGAAGCCAAACCCTCAAAAGGGGGGCGCGGGGGTTGATATTTGAACTGAGACCTGGAACAATGGTACATAGTAGGCATTCAATATTTGTTGAATAGGTGAATTAATGAAGGTTCTCTGATTCTCAGCTCACCTCACCATGTCCAGTTCATAAGCAATTGATTCCAGAAGTCAACTGGCAATCCAGTTTCAAATCGCTTGTCCTTGCTCCAGTGAGCATCCTTTTAGTCCGTTCAAACCAGCAAGTATCATATTTGCTAAGCATTATTATGTGCCAGGCACTGACCCAGCCTCTCTCATAGAAGAAACTTAAATTCCTTTCCTGCTATTTCCCCTCTGTTGCTGAGTGGGGAAATTACTTCTGAAGCTCTTGGAGTCTAGGGCCACAAGAGTCTCATAAAATCCTGGATAGGTGTGCATTAAAAATCCGGGTTCTCAGGTCTGTGGGAAAGTAAAGAAGCTTCAGAAAAGCTGCGTGGATCAACTGAAAGGTGTTGTGTCTGGAACCATGGAGGCGAAGGTGGAGTTCTCCAGCACGCAGGAGAAAGTTCTGCTTATTGGAAAAACAAGAAGTCCAGCTAGCACTAGGGCACCTTCTTTTTCCACCTCCGGCGCACTCCTCTCGAGATTCTAGGGTCACTTGAACCACCTGCCACGTTCAAAGCCTCTCTCTGGGCGCTGAGAGGGCCAAACAGAGGAATAAGATACTTGCACCGACCTTCCGCTCCCCTCGGAGGGTGGTGCATACAGTCGATAATGCTAATTCGCAAAAGCTAGCTACACCAGAGCGCAGGGTGGGCTGGACGCGACAAACCAAAGCCGAAAGGCCGGCCACTTAAGCTAGGGGTCGGGGGCCGTGTGGAGCACTGTAGACTTTCCTCGACCCCGCTCGGGCTGCCATGAAGCAGCCATAGACCTGCCAGCGCTCTTGAAACGGAGAGACCCAGACCCTTCACTCTTTAAAGCCGGCGCCGGATTCAGCAAGGATGCGGAGACTCGCTTAGCTTCAGAATTTGCCGGAGAGGTAGCCTGGGGGTGGGGAAGGGGCGGGGAGGGGGCGGGGCCCTGGCGGGGGCGGGCCCGCGATGACGTAGGGCGGGCCGGGACGCGCGGAGGCGGCGGCGGAGCCTCCTCCTTCTGCTGCTGCGCCCCATCCCCCAGCAGCCGGCCGGTTCCAGCCCGCACCCCGCGTCCGTGCCCGCACCCCCTCCCCCGGCCCCGCCATGGGCCTCACCGTGTCCGCGCTCTTTTCGCGGATCTTCGGGAAGAAGCAGATGCGGATCCTCATGGGTGAGGCAGATCAAGCGCGCGCGGCCCGGACCGGAGCGTCGGCCCCCGCGGAGTCCTCCCGCCCCCGCATCCCTCCGATCCCGGCTCAGTCTGGTCTCTGACCCTGAGTCACCCACCTCCTAACCACCCCCACCCCCCGCCGGGGTCACTGTTCTCGGGCGGCTTGCGGTCTGCAGCGCCGACCCCGGGGCCTGGGCTTGGGAGCTGCGGGCCTGGGTGGGGTGAAGCTCCCTACGCCCCAGCCCGGCTGGTAAGAAGGGAGGATTCCGCCCTTGGAGACGACTTTTAAAAGGAGCGTGGCCCTCCTCTTATGCCCTTTACCCACTAGCCCTCTTCAGCCCCTCGCCCGCTTTGGGGCTGGAGTTGGTGTTCACCATCAGACCGCCCTCAAGGCCTCGAAGGCAGATAACAGCGCGCACCTGCAGGCGCAGGGGCTCTCCGCCCCCGTCTCCATCGGCTGTCCTGGCCTCTCCCCTTCCCTGGTCTCTAGAGGGCTCCCTCGCTCCCGTCTCCAGCCCTCTGCCCCTCTCCTTTGCAGTTGGCTTGGATGCAGCTGGCAAGACCACAATCCTGTACAAACTGAAGTTGGGGGAGATTGTCACCACCATCCCCACCATAGGTGAGTTCTGAGGCGAGCCTGGGAGGAGCGGGAGGCTGGCGGCAGGCCTTCTCTGGGTCTGCTCGCGATTCTGCCTGAGGCCCTTATCTCTGTGCAGGGGCTGACCCTGACACTAGACACGGCTACCTGAGAAGTGGGTCACAGTTACCTTCACTTGCTGGATAGTGCCGAGGCTGGGTGAATGTGACCTAGCCCCACCTGGTCTGTGGACTGCAGGTCCTCTGGGGTTCTGTTCCCAGCAGACTTGATCGTTTCCTGGTTTTAGGTCTCTGATGACTCTACGTAGATTTAGTGAGTTTCTTTCTTTCAGGACTTTGTTTTCATTTTTTTTTTTTTTTTCCCAATTGTCTCCAGGCTTCAATGTGGAAACAGTGGAATACAAGAACATTTGTTTCACAGTCTGGGACGTGGGAGGCCAGGACAAGATTCGGCCTCTGTGGCGACACTACTTCCAGAACACTCAGGTGGGGATGGGGCTCTCCAACCCCACGAGAAAAGGTGTTAGGACTGCAAAGACTGAGATGTTGGCCTAGGCTGGGCCCCCAAGCCAGGAAAAAAACCCCTCACCTCCTTCTATCTGTGTTTGTAGGCTTGCCTCTACTCGTCCTTCAGAACTGGCATTATTAGTCTTCTGAGACTTAGCCACCCTACACTCTCCTGACAAGCAGGGTTCTGGGTCCATCCTGTCTTATTTACTTTTTTTTTTTTTTAAGTTTATTTATTTATTTTGAGAGAGAGAATCCCAAGCAGGACCCGTGCTGTCAGTGCAGAGCCAGACAAGGGGCTCAAACTCAGGAGCGGTGAGATCATGACCTGAGCAGAAATCAAGAGTGGACATTTAACTAACTAAGCTACCCTGGTGCCCCTATTTATTTTATTTTATTTTATTTTTTTAAGTAAGCTTTACCCACAGTGTGGGGCTTCAACTCAACTCCAGGATCAAGAGTCACACATACTACTGACCGAAACAGCCAGGCGCCCTCATGCTGCCTCATTTAAGTCTCATCAAGTCTTTCCCTGTTCCCTTGCACCTCTCCTAGCCACACTGCTTGCCTGAGGGCAGAGGCTGTATCCCGGGCAGGGTGTCTCCAGTTTGTGCCAGGATGTTTGCAGAGCCTTGTGAAAGTTTAGATGAGAAGGGTTTGGACACAAAGATGGGAAGAAGGAAGCCAGACTAGGTTATGTCCCAGGTGGGAGTAATTGCTTGCCCTTTCTGTCTTCCTTCCCACCCAGGGCCTCATCTTCGTAGTGGACAGTAATGACCGAGAGCGGGTCCAGGAATCTGCTGATGAGCTCCAGAAGATGGTGAGCCCCCAGAGCACTGGGAACTGATCCCTGGTTTGGAGGCAGAGCTCTGAGATCTCTGTGCCAGTGTGAAAGTCAGGAAATGCCTCACAGGCCTTGAACGTGTTTCTCTTTGTGACACCGACACAAGGAGTATCTCACCCTGTTTTGAATTTGAGTCAGGTGAAAAGTATAGGACTGACTTTTTCCTTGTCAGGAAACTGATTTCTTACAGCTTCGCCTCTGAGAAGTCGGCAGGGAAAGGAGGATTATATGTCGCGGAGAGAAACTTCATCTTACATTCTTCATTCTTGGTTTTCCATTTGGAAATGTTGTCACTTTGACTAGGGCAAGTCATTAGAAAAAGGCTCTGGACTTCGGGCCAGATGGCCTCAAGCTGATTTATGACTCTGCGTCTTGTGTTCAGCAGCAGACTGCACAATATTACATTATGCCCCACAAATATGCTGGAAGGTAGAAGGGGGGGCTCCCTCCACAGCAGGGAAGAGGAAGCCTGGAGACCCTGCTAGGGCTCCAGATTCCATCCCCTTCGTCTCTCTCAGCTGCAGGAAGACGAGCTGCGGGATGCGGTGCTGCTGGTGTTTGCCAACAAGCAGGACATGCCCAATGCCATGCCCGTGAGCGAGCTGACCGACAAGCTGGGGCTGCAGCACTTGCGCAGCCGCACGGTGAGGGTCCTGCCTCTCCCAGGGGAGCCACAGGCTGGGGCCAGGAGGAAAGGTATCCCCTTGTCTTCCCTGCTACTGACCTTTCCTTCCTTCTCCCCACAGTGGTACGTCCAGGCCACCTGTGCCACCCAAGGCACAGGCCTGTATGATGGGCTGGACTGGCTGTCCCATGAGCTGTCGAAGCGCTAGCAAACCAGGGGCCGGCCCCTGCTGCCCGGAAGCTCCCGCGTGCATCCCGGGATGACCAGATTCCCGGACTCCTCAGGCAGTGCCCTTCCCTCCCACTCCTCCTCTCCCACAGACACAGGCCTCTGCTCCTGCTCCTGCCTGCATGTTCTCTCTGTCGTTGGAGCCTGGAGCCTCGCTCTCCGGGCACGGAGGGGTCCACTCTCCTGCCTGCTGGAGCCTGTGGAAGGGACCTCCAGGGCTAAGGCCCCTATTTCCAGAGGAGGAGCAGGGATCTGGGTTTACTTTTGTTTTTTCCATTTTGGGTGTACCCTTGGGGCCAGATGGGGAGGGAAGGTGAGGGCTCCGGGTGGTGCTATGATGTGGCACTGGATATTGAGTAATAAATTTGCTGTGGTTTGTACACAGTGTTGTCTGTAGCTTAGAAGCGGGGGTTTGGGGGGAGGCTGGGTTGTTGGGTACAAAGGGACAATATGACAGGGGGAGGCTCAAAACGCTAACGCTGCACAGCCAACCCCTTCCCCCAGCGCGCACACACACATCGCTGCCTTCCCCTAGCTCAGCCTCTCCCTCCTTGTTCTTGAGGATACAGTACTTCGGGGGTTCCAGTGGAGGAAGTTCCACTCCCTTCCCGATTCCAGGGGGCCTTTGCTGAGGATGACAGGCTCTACCTCATGATTCTATAAATCACACACTTCCGGTTCCTCTCCATCTCCTAGCTACTTAGAGCAGTGGCTCTTCATGGTTACTGTGCACATTAAAATTCAGGGGGAGGGGATATTTATTAAAAAGAGGGTCCCGAGATAACCTTTAGAAAA